ATAGATAGATAGATGATAGATAGATAGATAGATAGATAGATAGATAGATAGATAGATAGATAGATAGATAGATAGATAGATAGATAGATAGATAGATAGATAGATAGATAGATAGATAGATAGATAGATAGATAGATAGATAGATAGATAGATAGATAGATAGATAGATAGATAGATAGATATAAATAAATAGATAGATAGATAGATAGATAGATAAATAAATAGATAGATAGATAGATAGATATATAGATATATAAATAAATAGATAGATAGATAGATAGATATATAGATAATAAATAGATAGATAGATAGATAGATATATTTTTGGGTATTTTTCTTTCAACCAAGTGGTCACAAACTGAGCGCTTTATTTCCCGGGCAACGCCGGGTGTCCTGCTAGTATGTTATATGGAAGCTATACGATTGATTCAGCATAAGAAATGCGTTTTCCATGTTTGCTTCCTGTGACCAGGGCCAAACCGCACCCTCACTCACCCAGTTTCATGTTGTATTTTTTCACCAGAACATCTCTAAAACCTGCAACATGTTTGCTAGATTGCGATTAGGAAGTTGTTGCAGTTACTATTGGCTGCCGTGAGCTAGACCAACCAAAATTCTTTTGTGTTATACAGAAGGTGTACATGCACAAGATTGGCAAGATGCAACCATTCAGTTCAAGAAATGTGCAAGGCCAGCCAGTATCTTGACTCACCCAAGTTCCCGCATGATTTTTTACCAGAATTTCACCTATACAACAAGTAGCAGGCTTGCTAGATTGTGATTTGGAAGTTGACGCAGTTACCATTGCCTGCTTTGAGCTAAAACGCAAGTAGACCGCCATGCACAGGTATTCATAAGGTAGGCAGTATAGTTTATGAACAATGTTACAGCAGCGTTTACACGCCTGCCAGATTACCTCGAAAGCATAGCCAGCGGCGTGATTTCCAACGAGGAGGTTACCATGGCGATATTGAGCCCTGGAGCCTCACGGTCGAGGATTTCCCTCGTTGCCTAGGTGATTAAATAATTAGGTGCACGTTAGATAAATTTAACAAGCATTCACACAGCTTAAATCAAATAACATAGTTTGGTGGCCATGAAAATGTCACAGCACTTCATTAAACGCTGTAATTCCGTACGGCTAATCCTATTTTCATTGATGGCTGCAAATAATGATATGTGCTCCTGGTGTGACACGAGTACGGCTGTTTTTACATATATCAGACGTGACACCACAGATGTAATAGAAATCAGTACAATTGCACAGTCATACCTCAGGTGTGACATCTCTTGGTGAAAAGCCTGTTCCTCCTGTAGTAAGAATAAGATCAACTTCCTTACTGTCAGCCCATGCCAGCAACTTTTCCTAAAAATCACATCGAAATTATTAGTATACTAAGACGTATTGCAATGATTAAGCATGCACTTCTGAAGTGAATACGTACGATGTACATCGGTCCTACACTAAGACTCAAGGGGTCGTTGTCGTATCAGGTACTACAGATATGTACCCGAGGTGCATATATGTATACACAAAGTGTACCAGACTTGTACTACAGAAGTGTACCCTAACCCTAACACTAACCCTAACCCTAA